TGGGTCCCGCCGGAGCCCTCTGCCGGTCACTGCGTCATTCACCGCCAGGCCCGGGGGACACGGCGCCCTCAGACACTTCACGGCTCATCACGTCATTAAAAGTTGGTTCCTTCTCAGGTTTCCTCAGAAAACCCAAGTTCTTACCGAGTCGTGTGAGCTTCTTAATGTTTAAAGTGAAGAGGAAGCAGCTCCTGCAGGGAAACACCTGTCGTCGCTGGGCTCTGCCTGCAGGAGGCTGCGTGCGGTGAGCGGCTCCTGCTCGCCAATGACCACGTTGGCAGGCGCGTCTGCTGCGAGCCCGCCGCGCCGCCGGGCGGGCCGTTTCCCGCACCTTCGGGGAAATCGCTGTGCGCCTGTGGGAGGATTTCCGGGTCCTGTCTCGTTTACACGTACGTTTTGAGAGGAACATTCATTAAAGCGTCGACACAGCTGCCACCTTTCGTGCTGAGTCTGCTGCCCTCGGAGTTGGGTTTCTCGCGGCTCAGACTCCCATTCAGACGTCCGGGGGCTTGATGAGGGGACGGTCATGTTTGCGGTTCCAGGGAGGGAGGAGCACCTGCTGCGCTCAGGTGGGGGTGCTCGCCGCCCAGAAATCTTCGTCTTGATTACATATTTGTGCTCCAAACGGCAGAAGGCTAATTGCAAATGACTTCCAAGGACTGAATCCAGAGACGCCGCCGGCACCCCAGGTGTAGGGGTAATCAGGCGCGTATTTAGAGTAACGAGGTTTCATGGAGACGAGCCGGTCACGTGGGCGCGTGGGTGGTCGGCAGATGTTCGTTTCCTCTCAGTCAAGTAAAACGTGTCTCTGCAACTTCTCCTCCAGCACTGGCGGCCGCCCGCTGAGGGCCGGGAGCGAAGCCTTCGTGAGCCAGCGAGCGGACGGGGACGCGGCCGCTGCGGGCTCGGCACCTCCAGTCGCCCCAGAACGTGCGGCACGTGGGTGACCCTGAGGTCACCTGAGCTGCGTTTCTCCTTGTAGTTCAGGTGTCGGCCGATTGAGCAGCCGGGTCACTGACATCAGGCTGTGGCTGCGCTGTTGGGCGTGTGGTGTGGAATTCAGCCCAGATGGAGATAACACCACGAGTTGGGGCGCAGCGTCCCCCACAGTCTTCCAGCTCTTCCCGCCTCCCCGCCTGACCGTGCTTTGGACTCAGGGCTCTGAGCAGTGTCCTCAGAGGGTCCAGCGATACCAGCTCCACCCCAAATACACCTGGGCCGCGCCCAGGCCTCTGTTGGCTCTGACGGAGGGACTGACCACCGTCCTGAGACGTGATGAGCTGCACACGGCCCCTCCACTGTCAGGGCCGGGGCGAGCCTTCCCTGACGGCCCGAAGGCTCACGGTGGCGGCGATTTGTCCAGAGGAGGAGGCACCTGATGGGCTGCTTCTCTCCCTCCCCGCCCCTTCTGGGGTGACGCTCACCCCCTTACCTGGTCTCTGAGACGTGAGCAAAATCCACACGCAGCCGCGGGGTTGGAAGCACAGGTCTGTGTAGTCTCCCTGCACGTAGGAAGCCACTCGGAAAACCACGAGGCTGCCACGGCCCCGTGGCTGAGCGTCGACCCTGCACCAAGAGGTCGCCGGTTGATTCCGGGTCGGGGCACACGCCCAGGTTGTGGGCCTGATCCCCAGTGGGGGGCGTGCAGGAGGGGCCAGTCGGTGTTCTCTCTCATCCATGTTCCCCTCTCTCTCCCTCTCCCTCTCCTGTCCTCTGTCTAAAATCAGTAAAGAAAATAAAAAACAGAGTAGTCAGGTCTTCAGCTACCTTAAAATGTTAAGTAATCATTTACTTTTTAATTTCAAAATCACGTTTGGTCACTCGTGGTTAAATAAACCTAATGTGAGGTTTAGAAATCTCCTTCCCTAATGATTCGTCTGCTTTTTGAAGACGCCCAAACTTCAGCAGAAAACTGAGTCGAGATGCGTCGCCTGCGCTCAGGTGCGCCTGGCGTCCATGCGGGGTGCCGGGTGCCGGGTGAGTGTTCTGACTGTGCTCACACCACAGTGAACAAGGGCTCTCTCCCGACTGTTCGACTGAATAATTGAATGTTTTTCTTGACTGTGTAAAGTGATTTTTCAAAATTGTTCATTTTGGTCTATGGCAGCAAATTTGCACAATCCAGTGATCACGTTTAATTCCCCAGCGTCTGACCCTCACGGCGACCGGCAGAGGGCGAGGTGGGAACACGCTGTGCACTTCCGTGTCTGGAAAAGCCGTTTCGTGGTAGCTTTACCCAAAATATTCTGTGCTGCAGTTTCACGCAGGACGGACACCTGAGACTTCCTTTGTATTTATTTTGTAAACATGTTTTTATTGATTTTTTTAAAGAGAGAGAAACGTCGATGTGAGAGAGACATTGGTCGGCTGCCTTCCCCCCACTGGGGATGGAGCCCAAAACCCAGGCCTGTGCCCTGACGGGGAATCGAACCCGGACCGCTCAGTCCCTGGGACGATGCTCGGTCCACTGAGCCACACCGGCCAGGCGAGACTTCATTTTTAAATTATAAAGTAAGAAGTGTTCCATTGACCAGGATGCAGAAGTGTTTGTCGCTGTGAACAGGCACCTGAGGGGCCGGGGGTTCCGAGGGCGTGAGGCCCGTCTTGCACCTCCAGACACGAACCCCATCTCGGCCGCGTGTCTCTCGTCAGAGTGAGTCGGGGCCCTGGGGCCTGGACGTTACGTGTGTTTCTAAATCGGTTTCTTTCCTCAGCTTGTGTAACGCGCGCTGCTCTCAAGCACCAGGTATTGGTTATTGATTTCCATGAATCTGCGCGTTGGTTTTCCCACGGGGCATTAGGCACAAGCAACAAACGTCTCAGGGACTTATCCAGGGTGCGTGTGTCCTATGTGGCGATGCTGGTGACCGGCCCTGAGGGGAACCCTTCCGGCCTCTCAGTGAAGAGCCCAGATGTCTTGGAGAGGCTGCCACGGTGGCATCCCTTCCACGGGCCACGGAACCACGGCGCCACGCAGAAACGACACTAGCCATGCGGACTTCGGCTGGCTGCCACTCACTTCTCAGGACCAGAGAAACCTGCCCCTCGCCGGTCCCCACGGCACAGGCGGCAGGTGCCGCGGTCCGCGTCAGACAGGGCGGTGCGTGGTCCTCAGAGCTGTTTCCGGGAAGACTGTCAGTGGAAACACTTCTCATGAGCATTTGGGCACGTTTCCCGTTCAGCCGAGCGCAGGAGGACTTGCTGGGCCCACTCCGGCCGGGCCTGGCCCCAGGCCCACATCCAGCCGCGTGGCCGCCCCCTCTGTCCAGGCGGCCGGTCGCGTGTGGAGGGCGGTGATGACACACCACCGCTACGTGGCTGAAATCGCACGAAAACCGCCCTGCTTCTCCGGGTCGCTGGCGTGATGCCGCAGGTGCCGCCGCGTCCGCCTGTTGGCTGCCGAGGGCAGAGCTGAGCCCCAGCCCATCTCCCCGTTTCTGTGGTGCAGAGTTAGAGCCTGCTTCTCGCTCACCCACTTTCTCCTGCCCCTCGGGGCCTCTGTGCCCTGCAGCCGTCCACAAACGTGCCCGCTGCCCTGGCCGGTTTGGCTCAGCGGTCAGCGCGTCGGCCTGCGGTGCAGAGACCAACGTGCCCGCTGCGCAGATTTTCACGTGCAGCTTCTATGCCCTCATCTCAGGTCACCGTGACGTGACTCGTCTTGTCCCGTTCGTCAGCTTTTGAGTTTTATTGGGAAAATCCATTCACACGGTCAGAGGTGGGTGGGAGGCACGGCCCAGGCCCAGCCCCGAGAACAGCGGGCAGAGGGCGGTGGCAGGGCCAGGCTCACACAGGTCCCGGAGTCCGCGGGGGGCCTGCTCCCTCGGTCCCTGTCGGGCGCGGAGCCAGCAAGCAGACCGCAGGCCAGCACCGCGGGGATGCGCCCGCTCTGGGCCGTGACGAGGCCCCGGGTCCCTTCCACAGGCACTGTCGGGGGTCGTCCCTTTCAGGAAAAAGACAACACCCCACCGTAGTGGGAAACCCGTTCGTTCCGAAACAGAGGGTCGCGCACCCTTGCTGCAGAGGGATGAGCAGCACCCTGAGCCCGCCAAGCACGCGCGTGCACTCTGGGAGCCCCTGCGAGACGGCTGGTGAGATCGCAGCTCCAAACGCATCTGCTTCTTGGTGGATTCACCGCACAGCCGTGTGCACGTGTGCCGGGCGGGGTGGGGAGGAGGGCGGCTGCCGTAGGCCGACGGTGAGGACACTGGGCGGGACGGCCATGGAGACCTTGCCCCTTCTCTGCTGCTACGACGTGGACCCAGAGTGTGCGCGAGGGGAGCAACAGCCCCTGACACAGTCATCTCCCTATTACAGAGGCACCTGTTCAGCCCGGCCGGTGTGGCCCAGCGATGGAGCATCGTCCAGGGACCGAGGGGTCCCAGCTTGACTCCAGGTCGCGGCACGTGCCCGGGCTGTGGGCTCCATTCCCAGTGGGGGGCGTGCAGGAGGCGGTCGATCCATATTCTCTCTCACATCGTTGTTTCTATCTCTCTCCCTTTTTCTCTCTAAGTAAAATCGAAAAAACATATAAAAATAAATAAAATAAAAACACCCGTTCATCGTAAGCATTTTCAGCCGACACAGAGAACTGAAAACACAGTCACGCACATCATCCCATGAAGACCGTGACGGCGGGATCAGGTACCTCTCATCTTTTTCACAGATATATCCTGTCTTAGTCTCGACGTCACTGGGTCCGGCTTGCTTTTTAGCATCGTCGTGAAGTGAGTGTTTCCCCGTGATGCCGTGACACACGGAGGTGTGGCTGCCTCCGTGGCCACCGGGCGCTGTGGCCGCCGCTGGGTTTCTCGGTGTGTTTATAACGTTCTGCTGTTGAGAAGCACCGTGTAGACTGTCCCGAGCTCACAGCATTTCCGCAGTGACGTCCTTTCCTCGGGCTGGACGCGGTCACGGGGAGCAACACAGACCCTGTCGCGAGAGCACCAGGCGGGCGGAGGGGTGACGTGCCCTTGCTGACGTGGGGCTTATGTTTCTTACAGCTGTTTCGTATGCAAACTACAAAAAGACGCCGCCCCCCGTGCCCCCGCGGACCACCTCCAAGCCTCTGATCTCGGTGACGGCGCAGAGCAGCACCGAGTCCACGCAGGACGCCTACCAGGACAGCCGTGCCCAGAGGATGTCCCCGTGGCCCCAGGACGGCCGGGGCCTGTACAACTCCACGGACAGTCTGGACAGCAACAAGGCCATGAACCTGGCCCTGGAGACGGCGGCCGCCCAGCGCCACGCCTCAGACGGCCAGAGCGGCTTGGGGCGGACGAGCGAGCAGGCCATCCTGGTGTCCAAGGCCGAGGAGTTCCTCCGGAGCCGGCGCCCCTCCATCGGGATCCAGGTAGCCTGTCCCTGCCCCGAGCGTGCCGGCCGCGTGGACGCGGACACAGCGGGCCAGCGCCCGGGTTCACAGGAGCCGTGGCCCCTGAGGGCTGGCAGCCAGCACCTGTGTGGGCGCGGCCACCCGAGGGCGCCTCCGTCCCTGTCCCGTGCCTGCCCTGCCGCCCAAAGGGTCCCCCGCCCCCTCCCCTCCCAGGGCATTGTCAAGGGGCCACTGGCTGCTTAGAGAGCCAGGAATTAGGTCATTTTGTTGCTTAAGAAGACATTTTTTTGTTGAGATTGTATTTTCAAAGCTGCTTAGCTTTGCAGCCAAACAGTCGAGTGGGGGAGGTTTGGGGGCACCAGGCGGAGAGGGGGGGGGCCTTTGGCCTGACCCAGGCCTGTGCTCACAGTCACCCACAGGAGGGCTCCCTGGGGCTTTCCTGTGGCCACAGGGAGCGTCCGTGGTTTCAGACCACCAGGCCCCACGCCCGCCCTGGACGCACCTGTCAGCTGCTCCTGCCTCTGTCTGGGGCGTCCGTCCCTCCGCGTAGGGGGTGGGTGGGGGCAGACACAGGGGCTGCAGGGGCACAGCCCTTCCCGATGAAACTTCCCCTCGACCTGTCCGGGGAGGTCCCCTCACACAGCCCGGGACACGACGAGGCAGCGTCCTCACCGAGTCCTCTGCAGACAGGGCTCTGTGCTGACCGCTGGTCACTCCCTGTCCAGCCTGTGTCCAGAGGGGTTTAGAAACCAGGGGCTTCGCTGCCGCCGGGAGGAGGGTCAGATGTGCCCCAGTGAGCGAGGGGCGCCGGTGTCGGGGCGGGAGCAGGCGGGAGCCCCCTGCCCCTCCGGCGCCGGGCCCCCACACTGTGGTTCGTTGTTTTGTTTAGGACTCTGACTTCCCCGAGCATCAGCCATGCCCAAGGTCAGATGTAAGTACAAAGCGCTCACGGCCCAGTTCGCATGACGTTTCTCTCCCTCCCTGCTCTGGGCCCCGCACAACCGCTCCTGCCGCCTGTCTGCTGGCGCCGGGCCAGGCACTGTGTGGGGCTCGCTGTGCGGGGCCCGGCCCCGGGGTGCTCAGCCGTCCGTGAGGGCGCCCGCGGTTCACACCATCCAGCCACTTCCTGGGGCCACCGCCTGCTTGCGGGCACCTGGGGGCGCGGACCACGTCTCGCGGGGGGACTCCTGCGGTCGCAGATCCACCAGGTGGCTGCCGCTCCCCGGCGCACCTGCAACCTTATTCTTCTCGCTGCTCACGGCCCGCGAAGGGCAGGGAGTCAGCCTCCCGTCACGGGCACTCCGACTTGATCAGGAACCGTGGCATCAGATTACCAGCCACCCCTGCCTCCACGTCCCCGGGAGCCCACACGCACCCACCCGCTCCCCCTGCTAATGTGCAGGCCACACGTCTCCCCCCTCGGAGGCCCTTCCAGACGCCGGCCCCCAGACTTCCGATGGCCGCACCTTCCGCCTCCTGACAGCCCCGTGCCCAGCACAGTGCCCGGCCCATGGCCAGTGCCCGGTCCGTGTAGGATGTGAGTGGGTGGGGCGCGGTCAGAGATAAGTGTGAACACGAGTGCAAACGTGAGAGGAGCTGTCCTCCGCAGTGAACGCTGCACAGTCTCTTGTGACGCAGCCACAGCCGCACAATGTGCGTTGAACAGCCCAGAGAGAACACGTCCCGGGATCTCGAGTGTTAGGAGAGAGGGAAGAGCCAGACGCATGTCGGCGGCCGGTCAGACGCCAGAGCAGAGTGACAGGCGGCTCGGGCAGGTGCACGGCTGCCCCTGGGCTCAGGGAGAACGGCGGGGACCTCCGGGTCGTCAGAGTCATGAGAGCGATGACTGGTTCCTGAGCCCGGGCCCACCATGAGCCCTCCCCTCCCCACAGCCCATCTGCCGGGTGTATCACAGGGAAACTGAGGCTCAGGGTAAGGGACCCGCCTGAGGGCACACCCAGAGGTGTCCAACCTCGACTGCAGCCAGGAGGGTGGACTCCCTCAGCCCGCAGGGCCCCTGCTCCCCAGGAAGGGAAGCGACTGGGGTGACGCTGGCCCTGTGCCCTGGGGCTCTGAGCAGGCGTCACTGTGCACAGCCAGAGCGGAAAGACGGCTGGCATTCAGCATGGCACCGGGTGGGTGATCCCCCGACCACAGACTCCCTCCCCAAGCGCGGCGGACAGGAGCTGGGAGCGGCGTCTGCACACACGCAGTGGAGATCTTCCTGTCACAGTCAGTGTCCCTCATGCTGGCACAGTCCACCCCCTGCACGCACCCCTGTGCCCTGCTCACCCAGGACCCGCCCCCTTCGGTCTGCAGGCCGGGGCCAAGGTGCGGGGCCAGGTGTTGTCCCGCGACCCTGCCGCCTGCCCCTCCCTCAGACCTGATAGGAACTGTCCTGTGTCCGTGTCTCCACGTGTGACTTTGTTACGGCAGAGCTTTTACTTTCGTGTGTGTATGCATGCGTGTGTGCGTGTGCACGTGTGTGCGTGTGTGTGCGCATGTGTGCACGTGTGTGCACGTGCACACCTGCTGAAAGGGCTGGCTGTGCCCAGATCCCGCGTCAGGGCTACTATCCCGGGGCCCTGCCAGGCCACCTGCCTCAGTCCCGTTTCTGCGACAGGAGCAGACACACTCTGATACCCGCAGGTGTGAGAGCTCGGGGGCAGCCTCGGAAAGGCCCAGCGTCCCCCCTAAAGGACATGGGTTCACCGAGAACCCAGTCGGCCCTGTCAGTCCCCCCCCGCTCATGCCAGTGCAGGGCCTCCAGACTCAGCACACCCCGTGGGGCGCAGTAGCTGTCTCAGCCATGCCTGCTGCTCTGCAAAGCCTGGGAGGGCAGAGTGCCAACAAGCTGGCCTTAGAGTGCACAGGGCGAGGCCGGAGCTTAGGTGAGGCTGGCCGGTGCCCATCCCACCAGGATCCTTCGGGTCCCTTGGAAACCTGTGGCTCAGGGGGCAGCATGTCAGCCCCAAGTTCCTGCAGACCCAGGCCACACACAAGATGAGCCACAGCACACAGGTCCTGTCCCCAGCACGCACACACACAGGTGCACACACCCAGGAGCACACACAGATGCACACACACAGGGACACACACGTGCACAAACAGTCGCACACATGCACAGGACACAGGACCACACAAGTGCACACACAGGTGCACACACAGGTGTATACACACAGGAGCACACACAAGTGCACACACAGGAACACACACAGGGACACACATGGGTGTACACAAACAGGAGCACACACAGGTGCACACACAAGTGCACACACAGGAGCACACACAGATGCACACACACAGGGACACACACGTGCACAAACAGTCGCACACATGCACAGGACACAGGAGCACACGAGTGCACACACACAAGTACACACACAGGTGCACACACAGGAGCACACACAAGAGCACACATGCACAGGAGCACACACAGGTGCACATATGCACACACCAGCCACACCCAACTTCTGTTTCTTAAACAGGTCCTGTTCAGGAATGTTCTCCCTCCCCCCATCACCGGCAGGTGCTCAGCAGACTGTCTCATTGTGGTCAGGCAGGGAAGTGAGGGTGCTGGGTCTCCAGGGGCCTGAACACCCTCTGGGACGGGGAGTTCAGTGCCCCTCACATCTGAGGTTGGAGACAGAGGCCTCGGTGACACGGACGACTTACCCGAGCCCCACAGGCAGCAGCTGCAGAGTGGAGTTGACTCCAACATGACTGATTTCTCGTCTCGATGAGAGTAGTGGGCTCCCAGGGGAGAAGCTGGAGACTGGAGGAGAAAGGAAAACCCTTCTGCTCTGTTTGGTTGTTTCTGTCGCCTGCTGGAGCATCTGCGAATGCGTCCATGTGATTTCGGTGTTGGCCACGCCACGCAAGGCACCCTCAGTCACGCCCTGGCAGTGAACACAGTCTGTGTCCTAAGGAACCACCCCCTGTGTCCCTTGGCCACGTGGCTGCCCCAAGCCACCCCCACCGTGGGGATGATGCTCCAAGGAACACCTCGCCTTTGTCAGAATGGACGGTGACATCTTCAGACCAGAGCCCTCAGGTGGGATGAGAGACTCGTCTTCTGAACACGTGTGACCACAGCCGGGGCTCCTTCCGTTCCAGAGACCACGTCGTGTGGGCCGGCTCCACCCGTGTCTACACCCAGCCCAACACCGTCCACCCAAAGTGGGCACAGTGAGCCGCTGCCACAGCTGCCACAGACTGTGAACGTGTTCATAGGAGCTGTGTGCTTTCTCATACACAGATATGCACACATGCGGATATGCTCACATGCAGACCTGCTCACACACGGACATGCTCACACATGGACATGCTCACACATGGACATGCTCACACAGAAATGCTCATATGCAGATATGCTCACACAGATGTGCTCACACGTGGATATGCTCACATAGATATGCTCACACGGACATGCTCACACACATGCTCACACAGACATGCTCACACACATGCTCACACACGGACATGCTCACACACACATGCTCACACACACACGCAGACATGCTCGCACACATGCTCACACACACACTCACACGCGGACATGCTCACACACGGACATGCTCACACAGATATGCTCACACAGACATGCTCACACGGACATGCTCACACACAAATGCTCACACACACATGCTCACGCGGACATGCTCACACATGGACATGCTCACACACACATGCTCACACGGACATGCTCACACACACGCTCACACACAAATGCTCACACACACATGCTCACGCGGACATGCTCACACATGGACATGCTCACACACACATGCTCACACGGACATGCTCACACACACGCTCACACACATGCTCACACGCGGACATGCTCACACGCGGACATGCTCACACAGACAAGCTCACACACAGACATGCTCACACACACATGCTCACACGCGGACATGCTCACACACACATGCTCACCGCTGCACGGTGGCAGAACTGGAACTAACCCGTCATCTCTCTAGCAGAAGACAAGTGAGCAGGACGGATTCTTCGTGAAACGAAAACCCACAGTCACAGGACCTGGCGGCTCCGCTCAGCTGACCAGGGACAGCCTCCCAAGTGCTCTGGTCGCCGGCACCCTCTGCGCAAAGCAGTGAGGACAGCGCTCATGCCCAGCGTGGAGGAGCAGCGGAGTCGAGGAGCCAGGAGGAGGGCGGCAGGGGGCCGGGCTCCCTCCTCTCCCGTCAGAACGGCACGGACAGGCGCCGTGTCCACACGTCCCCTCAGAATCACGCCCGCGAAGCGGGGTGCGCCCGGCATTCTCCACGCTCGGGACCCAACGGAATGCTCCTGGGACTTTGTGCAGGATTCTGGCCACAGATGATCAGAGATCCGGGCCGGAGCCCGAGTCCCCTCAGCAAGCTGTGCGCCCGGGCAGGGGCCTCACCTTCCCTGATTCCTCCGCTGGTCAGTGCGGCTGGAAGCCACACGGGGTGTCGTGTGGTCTGTGTTCTCTGTGCTCGAGCTCGGTGCCTGGAGCCTGTGAGCTCGGAGCAGACCCAGCTGTGGCGCCCCCCTGAGGGCCCTCCGAGCCTCGGCTCAGCTGGGGCACCGCAGACCGAGTCGGCCTGGGGCAGCCGCCCTCCGCTCTCGGGCGCAGACGGTCCCCGTGCGTGGCCCCTCGTGGCGGTCAGTAGTCTTTTTAAGAAAAGACGAGTTTCACCTTCGTTGTGATATTTCGGGTCAAAGTCCCCTCAGTGTGGTAGGGGGTGTTTCCCGTGAAGAAGAACAGGGGCGTCTGAGGAGTTGGGCTGCGGTTGTGACGGAACCAACCTCGGGTCTCGCAGACGCTGCGCTTCCGGTTTAGTGTGGTTTTTACAAGATGTGCGGCCCCGGGTCCCCGTGTGGGTGGCAGACCGCGGAGGGGTGTCGGGCGGCCTCTGGCGGGGGGAGACTTTCTGGAAACGCGGCCGCGATGAGGACCCTGCGTGAGTGTGCGGTGTCTGTCCTGTTCTGTGGGCGCAGACCTGTCAGCGAAGGGGATGTGGCTGCGTGTGGGGCAGACGGACGGGCGCCTGCCCCCCGTTCCTGCCGCTGCCTGGCATCCTCCATGTGTCCCTGTGCAGATGTAAACGTCCTGCCGTTCTGCGGACGCGCTCACTGGTCATTCGCGCTCTCTGGTCACACTTCCTGTCCTCACCGCTGGTGTGACGAGAGCTTTGCAGTCCTGCCTAACGGGGCCGACAAAGTTTTTGAGCTGAACTAGGTGGTTTCACTCGCATCATTTAAAAGCCCAACGTTCGAGCAGCTGCGTGAGATTTGATGAAACACGGCAGCAGCTCAGTCACCAGTGTCTGGTTTTACCAGGTCAGGGCGTCTCCACGCGTGGAACAGACGTGTGCTGAGCGACAGCCACGGAGCACGGAGCAGCCCCTGGCCCGGGCCGGGGCTCGTTCTAACGTGAGCTGTTCTGTGTTGACCAGGTGGAAACCGCCACGGACTCCGACACAGAGAGCCGCGGGCTGCGCGAGTACCACTCGGTCGGCGTGCAGGTGGAAGACGAGAAACGGTAACTCCGCCCCTTCGCGCTGGGTGGCGCGCAGGGCACGGGCGCGGGTTCGAGGCTGAGCAGCGGCCGCTCACACCCTCGAGGGAACAGGCTGATGTGTTCATTTCTGTTCCCGCCGTTTGTGTACGATTGAACCTGCGCCCAGGTCTTGTCTGCGAGAGGCTGGGGGACGCGGTCCTTCCGGGGGGCCAGGCTGAGGGGAGGCCTACGCGGGTTTCCTCGCCTGCGAGTGGGGGAGGCCGAGCCAGATGGCGCTGGCCAGGACCTCGGCCGCGCCGTGACCTCTGCCCCCGAGGCCAGAACACGGGCAGGGCCGCCGTTCTGTTTGTGTTTAGAGTAACATATCTTTTATTTTTTTAATCCTCACATGAGGACATTTTTTTCCCCATTTAGCTTCAGACAGAGAGGGAGGGAGGGAGGGAGGGAGGGAAACATCAGTGTGAGGGAGACACGTCGACTGGTTGCCTCCTGCACGACCCTGACCAGGGCCAGGGACCAAACTGCAACCCTGGGACATGCCCTTGGTCGGAATTGAACCCGCGACTCATTGGTCCGCGGGCCGACGCTCTAACCGCTGAGCCACACCGGCCGGGGCCAGACCAGTGCACCTTGTAAATGCCATGAAAACCCGCGTCCGCCATCCGGCCTCTGGAACCTCGATCCGTGGTCACGGTGAAGCCCTGGGTGACGCTGCCCGTTCTGTGGAGACCCTGACCCCAGAGACATTTGGGCCACAGAGTCCTGGCCGCCCAGCTCCCAGGGGACCCCAGAGCCTGGACGTCTCCCGTACCGGGACCCACCTGCGGCCTCCGTCCCAGCAGCGCTGGTGCTCGCGTCCTTTGCCTCCAGCGTCACGCGTGGCCGGGCACAACCTGGGGCTCCGTGGGTGGGGACCTAGAGGGACAGCTGGGGCACAGTCCACAGACGCACCCGGCTCCGGCCCAGTGACATCTGGGCCCCGGTTCTGAGCCTGTTCCAGGCACCTCGCTGAGGGGTGTGTGGAGATGGGTGACCCCTGCTGGGGTCAGAGTCCACATTCATGACCACAGGACACTTAGTCGGGCAGGTGGCAGAGGACACCTGTGCCCACGGGAGACCCCTTGCGGGGGGGCTGTGCACACTCACGGGGGGCTGTGCACACTCCCAGGGGGGTTGTGCACACTCACGGGGGGCTGTGCACACACTGGGGGCCTGTGTACACTCACAGGGAGGCTGTGCACACTCGTAGGGGGGCAGTGCACACTCGCAGGGGGCTGTGCACACTTGCAGGGGGCTGTGCACACTCACAGAGGGGCTGTGCACACTCATGGAGGGGCTGTGCACACTCATAGGGGGCTGTGCACATTCACAGGGGGCTGTGCACACTCACGGAGGGGCTGTGCACACTCACGGGGGCTGTGCACACTCGTGGGGGGCTGTGCACACTCACAGGGGGCTGTGCACACTCACAGGGGGGCCGTGCACACTCGTAGGGGGGCTGTGCACACTCGCAGGGGGCTGTGCACACTCACAAGGGCTGTGCATACTCACAGGGGGGGCCGTGCACACTCATAGGGGGGCCTGCACACTCATGGGGCTGTGCACACTCACAGGGGTATGTGCACACTCGTAGGGGGGCTGTGCACACTCACAGGGGGGCTGTGCACACTCGTAGGAGGGCTGTGCACACTCGCAGGGGGCTGTGCACACTCACAAGGGCTGTGCATACTCACAGGGGGGCTATGCACACTCACGGGGGGCTGTGTACACTCGTAGGGGGGCTGTGCACATTCACAGGGGGCTGTGCACACTCACAGGGGCAGGGGCGGGGACTGTGCACACTCGGCCGTCCCAGATGGATCCTCAGAGCCGGACCCTCCCTGTGCCCGGGGAGCAGGTCTTCAGGGCGTGGTCCTCACACTGAGCCGTGGGGGGTCCATCAGAGGTCGAGTGTTTGCAAACACAGACTTCTTCCCCCGGGGAAACGGGACCATGCGGGGAGCACACCCATCTTCCGGGCGTCGTGAGCGACCTGGGGGCCAGCGGCTGCCCCTCCTCAGGTCTGGTGGCACCTCATCCACTCAGAGCCCTTGTCTCCCTCCCTCTGTGCAGACACGGGCGATTCAAGCGTTCCAACAGCGTGACGGCCGCGGTGCAGGCCGACCTGGAGCTGGAGGGCTTCCCCGGACGCGTGGCCACGGAGGACAAGGGGCTGCAGTTCGGCGCGTCCTTCCAGCGGCACTCGGAGCCCAGCACCCCCACGCAGTACGGGGCGGTGAGGACCGTGCGGACCCAGGGCCTCTTCAGCTACCGCGAGGACTACCGGGCGCCCGTGGACGCGGAGAGCCTGCCCCCGCCCGAGCCCTGGCTGGAGCCGGCCGTGGACGCGGCCGAGAGTGGGAGGGTGTCGCCCTGCCGCAGGGACGGGGCCTGGTTCCTGAGGCCGCTGCACACGGAGACGCAGCGGATGGAGGGCTGGTGCAAAGAGATGGAGAGGGAGGCGGAGGACAACGACCTCGCCGAGGAAAGTAAGGGCCCAGGCCGGCACCTGGCGGTTCCGGGGGGAGGCCAGGCCAGGACAGTGGGGGGCAGTCCCGCCGTCGCCCCCTCGAGGCCAAGGAGAGCCACAGGTGGGTGATGAAGGATGGCCGGTCACTGAAGGCCGCGCTCCGCCGGGCCCGATGACGTGGCCCGTGGCTGGCAGCGTCCAGGTCCGCCCTTCACCTCAGAGGTCACAGCGCAGCTCCCGGCCTCCGGCAGGATGCGGCTTGGCGCGCCCACGTGTTCGAGGGGGTCGCCGTCCCAGGTGCATGAGACACAGCTTTGGCTTCATGCCAACCAAAAGTGGGAGCTGAGAAGGCATCGACCAATCAGCGAGGAGACGGGGGCTCCTGGCTGTCCGACCTCAGGGTGAGGGGGCCTCTGTGTGACTCCCACGCATGTGGGGACGTGTACCTGCTCCCCCTGAGGACTTGGGGGTCTGCGTCTGTGCAGAGGGACAGAGCCCTGCACCCCGCCTGCTCCCTCCCAGCTGGGGGGCCGCAGCAGCAGCCCTGGGCACGAACCCCCCCGCACAGGCTCAGAGCTCCTGACGAGGTGCAAACGGTAGCTGGTGTCCTCTGGGACGCAGCCCTGGCCCTGGTTTCCCGAGGACCGTGGCGGCAGGACGTCCGTCGTCCTGGACAGGAGGGCGCGTCCACGAGGGGTCGCAGGCGCGGTGACCCTGCAGCCTGAGGCTTCCAGAAGCAGAGCTGTGTGTTGAGCTTCGTGGTGAATCCACGGTGCTCGCCGGGGAGAAGGCAAGTCTCCCAGGCTCCTCGCCCATCGCCAGCCCCGCGCTGGCCGAGCTGACACCCACGGGCACGCTCTGGAGGAGAGCCCCCGGGGGGCGCCGCCCGCCCCCTGCTGCGCTTCGAGGGCCTGGGGGCGGGGCTCCCACGGAGCACGTGCCCTCGTCCCACATCGTCTGTGCAGGGCTCCCCCTCCTGGTATATAAACGTCACTCACTCCTGCTGCAGAAGAAAACGCAGAGAATTTCTCATTGTCACCGTGCGTCCCGGAGCCACCGCCGCTGTGACCGGACTTGTCAGCTTCGTCAGAGACGGAAACGAGGGAGAGCAGCCTGGGTGGTGGACATCGGAGGGAAGGTCCCTCCAGGTGTGGTTCTGCCCACACTCAGCCGAGGCTGTGGCCAGCGGTCAGGGGGACGCGCTGCACGGCTGCTGCTCGAGGTGCCGGGAAGGCTCCGGGCAGGAGGCTGCACCTGTCCTGCCCCATGTCCCAGGCCCGGCGCCCTCTGTGCGTGGTCCCCAGCCGCTCGTGCGACGGCACAAAGCCATCCTGGCCTTAGCGCAGTGTCCACCTGGTGTGTGCTTTTGATATCGGCGTTATCTTTCCAAGGATTATAGTTTCTATTTTTTTTTTCCTTAATTGAGTTTAGAGAGAGAGGAAGGGAGAGGGAGAGAGATGGAAATATCGATGAGAGAGAACACCGACTGGCCGCCTCCTGCATGGCCCACACTGGGGATCAGGCCCACCACCTGGGCATGTGCCCTGACCGGGAATCGAACCGGTGACCTCTTGGTGCAGGGTCGACGCTCAGCCACTGAGCCACAGCAGGCGGACAAGGATTATAGTTTTGAAAGATGTAGTTGCTTCCCCCTGGCCAAGTGTCTCAGCTGGTCTGAGTGTCGTCCCTGCACCCAAAGGTCGCCGGTAGGGCACACGGGAGGCAACCGACCACTGTTTCTCTCTCACGTCGACGTTCCTCCCTCTCTAAAAACTGATTTAAAAAAGCAGACGCTCAGGTGAGGGTCTCTGCACCAGCGTGTACTGACCACGTACCATGGGCCACGCGCTACGCTCCACGTGCTACGTGCGTTGTTAGACACTCACGAGCGTGTGACGTGTGCAGTGTCACCACCATGGTCTAAATAAAGAGACGAGCTCAGAGGGTCAACATCGCGCCTGGAACTGCACCGAAGACGCCAGGTCAGTGCCGTCGGGAGCCTCACCTCCTGGCACCGTGCTGAGTTCTTGGATCAGAATGTCCCCCGCACTCGCTCTGCCGCTCCCCGTCTCTGCCCGCAGAGCCCCTCTTCCGCTGCTGTGCAGACCGGAGTCACCCCAAGAGGCTGCTTCATCCCGGCCCAGTGTGGCCGCAGCTACGCCGTCCACAGCCCGGAGACCCCAGCCGGTGAGACAGGCTTCAGTGTCGGAGGAGGGAGTCACAGAAGGACGTCCTTCCTGACTGACGGACCTTCCAACAGTTACAGGCTGAGCATCGCCCGGGTGCGTCGTGGCTCCGTCCCGGGAACAGTGACGCTGCGCAGGGGCAGGTGGATTCCAGCCTGCGCGCCCTCAGGTGGGGGCTGGGGGAGGCCTGTGGGCTCCTCGTGCACAGATTTCCTCTCAGTGATCCCACCGCCGTGGGTCTGTCCCCACCGCCGTTTAAGATCTGGACGCGGCTGTGCTGCCGTCTTCTCCGGACAGACGCACGGGAGACCCGCCCGACTGGACACAAAGCTGGACACGCCCTGGGGGCGGTGAACCATCACTGCGCTCGAGTTCGGGGATCCTGTGTGATGTTGTCGAACCAACTGGGTAAATTACCCAAAGTGAAGACTCCCTCCCCAAACAGAGTGTTTTCTGGAAGAAAGGAAATCGCCCCAAAGCTGCAGGTTATCGTGAAAACTCCATGACGGGGTCTTTCCGGAGGCGTTGGGAGGTGCTCCTGCCCCAGAACAATCTGCCGCAAACAGTCAACAGTCTGAATAACCACAGACTCGGAGAGCTGAGGGCTGTAGTGATGCCTCACCCAAGAGAGCGAGGGAAGCGCCCCAGTCATAGTCACAAAGCTGGGGTCCTCTCCCTGCACGTGGGGGGCCTGATCTCTGGAGGGTGCAGGGCAGCTCGAGGCTTCAGCACAGCCGCAGGGGAGCATGGAGGACACAGCTCCAGGGACCAGCAGGTGCACGGACCTCGTCCTCAGAGCAGGGGGGTGAGCAGGACGCGGGGACCAGCAGGTGCACGGATCTTGTCCTCGGAGCAGGGGGTGAGCAGGACACGGGGACCAGGAGGTGCACGGACCTCGTCCTCGGAGCGGGGGGTGAGCAGGACCAGGCCTGTGTCTGAAGTTTGCCCCGACGTCCTGGATGAACCAAGATGCTCACTGAGATGGTTCTGAGCGGGTCCGGTGGGCCCGTGGCCACTGCAGAGGGTCAGCCACGGCCTCTGAGTCTGACAGGGACACACATCTCACCCCCCAATGGCCATGGGGACATGTGTTCAGCTTGCGATCTCGGAGAGAGGTTTGGGGGAGCAGTGACCCCCACACCTACTCGGTGACTTCAGTCACAGAAAGAGCCCAGAGTGGAGAGGTCATCAAACTATCTGCCGATTCTACAGAAATCCACTCTGGAACCTGGGAGAAAAGACTGGGAAGTCGTCCCGAGACCTCGTGCACATTAGGACAGGGAGGGGCGGGGGGCAGAGGACACGTGGAAAGTGAGTTAAAGTGGCCGGTGAGCCGACACATTGCGGGAAGGGCACTGCACCCGCCTTCCCGCCTGGGCACCTGAATCCAGCCAGAGCCCCCTCACCTGCACCCCCAGCCAGGGCCCTGCGCCGCCACCCGAGGCCGGGGCCGTCCTGGGCCCAAGGTCCATCCGCACGCCAGTGGGGTCCGTCTTGTCTGCAGCTCAGAAGCTAACGTGTCTCGGCCCCGACAGAGCCCGGTGAGCATCGGGGGAAGAACAACCTGAATTTACTTCAAGTTCTCGGCAGTTACAGGAGGCCGGTTACACGAGCGGTTCGGAGACATGTCCCACCCACTGCTCAGCCGCCCCGTCCTCGGCCACCTCCTGACGGTCACCTGTCCCGGGCAGCACACTGCGCCCTGGAGATGCCGCCGGCCCTGGGTGCCGGGTCCGGGAACGCCCTGCAGCAACACTTCTGCTGAGTTGCGGTTTAGGAAGAACGTGACTGTTAGGAACGGGAACTTCCCGTGGCATGAAACTGGGCGACTTTCACGACCCCGTGAGGCAGCCTGGACGCGGGAAGAAGTGTGTTCGCTGCATCTCCGTTCCTGCGGCGGCGGCGTGGCCAAAGCCGGTCTCTCGGCGTCTTCTCAGCCCAGCAGGAGACGGGCTTAGAGGTGGAAAGTCAGCCTTTGAAACCAGAGGTCGCCCTGCCCTCGGCCGCAGGGACCGGTCAGCTGGGGGTACAGTGTGAACCCTGCCGGGGCCACTGCGCCCGCCTTCCCGCCTGGGCACCTGAATCCAGCCAGAGCCCCCTCACCTGCACCCCCAGCCAGGGCCCTGCGCTGCCGCCCACACCCCAGCGGGGAGGACCAGGAGGGAGGGCGGGGGGAGTGGAGAGGACGCGAGGACCCAGGCGCAGGTGCCTAAAGACCTGCCCTTCCTGTTCCCCTTCAAGTCTGACGGCCCGTCCCTTCTGTGGGAAGTTGCATTTTAAACTCTCGCTGTCCTGGAAGCGAACCAGCACCAGACGAGGTTCCGGAGGACGGAGTTCAGACCCTGCACCCCTGTGGGGCGGCTTCCGAGAGTCCTGGGAGCTCCCCGAGCTGTTGTCTCTGAACACGGGGATGCTCACCCCGCTGCGGATTGGACGGGAGGCAGGGGGCTGTCCCCTGCATTTCTTGCGTTAAGTGTTTCATTTGCCAGTTAAATCCCAAAGTGGTCACACGGACCCTCCTGTAATGTGTTCAATTCTTTCCATTAATAAAACATACTATTTACTTTTGTGGAAGTACCATTGGATTCACTGACATCGCACGACTTAGACATCCCTGTCGGTGGGCCTGCGGGGTGTGGGCGTGTGTGGTGCCCGGCGACACGGCAGACCCCCGACTGCACGGTGGGGAAGGCGGTCACCCCCTGAAATAACGACATCACCTTGGCTTTCTGAAGACCAGCATCCTAACAGTTAGCTCACAGGTGTGGAGGCTGTGACGGGGGACACGGTGTCCCCCAGCTCATCCGGACGACACCACTCTCCGAACCGACCTGGTCCCGCACGGAGCGGGGGCCTTCAGCACACCGTGCCCGTCTTTGAATTTCCCTCGTGATTGGAATTGAAAACACCCAGTCGGCGGACGAGTCCTGAGCAGCGAATCCAGTCACACGGGGAGCAGCTGATGCCCTTGGGAGTGTCCCCCTCACCCCGTGGGATGCGTTGCTTGTGTTTCCTCCCTGACCTGCTTGTCTGTGTTTTGAACAGTTCTCGGTAAGATCAGGAGCGCCGTTGGCAGTGCCCAGCTTCTGATGTCGCAGAAATTCCAGCAGTTCTACTGGCTTTGCCAACAGAACATGGTGAGTGAGCCCTCGGCGCCTGCCCCCAGCCAGGCCGGCTCAAGTCACAGTTCCCTGCTGGGAGCTGAGTGAAGGGGGGGCACTGCCCAGCTTGGGAGGGTTCCCTTGGCAACCAAGGCCCAGAGGCTGCAATACTGGGTGTCGGTGGTGGAGGGGCGGGGCCTGCAGGAGATGGGGGGTCCCCCAGGGCGGGGCAGGTGGAGGAGGGGCAGGGCCTGCAGGTCCCCAGGGCGAGGTGGTGCCTTTGCCCGGAGCTTTGGGGAAGGAGATGAATGAATTGCGGGGAGAACTGTCACAGGCAAAGACAGCGGCAGGAGGCGGCTTGAATAAACACACAAAGAGCCAAATTTAAAGAAACCAAGAAGAGATTTTAGACATAATTTAGGCTTCGTATTTTACGGTCAGGAGTGAAATGAATAAACTGTGGAACTACATTCATTAATACAGTTGACATTAAACATAGTTCTGATCCTCCTGAAAATCAGAGGGAAGAAAACATATACTTACGTATGTGTATGTGCGTAATTACACATTCATATATGCTTGTTTATAAATACATGTATGCTTACTTCTATCCACATATAAATATTTCCATATATAAACATATACATGTAAACACCCGTGTGTATGCTCATTTGTACATCTGTGTAAGTGCAGGTGTATGTGCTACATACACGTGTACATTCCTCATCTGAATAGCCACAGCTCTTTGGAGAAGCAACTAAATAGCATCCACATGACTTCAGAAGCCGTTGTACGATCCACACTTTGATCTCTCGGACCGAAGATGTCCCACGTCCGTTGAGATGAAATGGGTCGGTGTCGGCCCCACCGCAGCCGCCAGGCGCGCAGTCCGTTCCGCCGTTCGCTGGGAGAGAGCGAATCCAGCGAATGTTCTTGTCCGTCGAAGGAGGCACAGCAGGCTGGCAAGTCATCCTTTGAATCTGGGCCGTGGGAATCTGATTTCTCTGATTTCCCCACCAGCCCGGTGCAAGTCCACCGTGAAAGGGCGGCCGCCCTGCTGTGACTCGCGTCCGATGTCGCGGTCGGGTCGGTGTTTACGGAGGAGACAGGAGGCGTGGATTCCCCGAGGGAAACCTGTCGCTGGGGAGACGTCAGTCTGTTTCCCAGCGCGTCCTCGCCCCCTGCCACACCCCCTGACTGTCCCCTGTCAGGGAGGGATTCGGCCTCCAGAGCTTTGTCGCCCTGCGTGGGGGAGCACCACCCACTGCCTTTGGGGCTCACTGTCCAGAGAGCCTCCCGGTAGCTTATAAAATGGCCAGGTTTTCTCTGCCAGGAGCAGCTAACACTAGACTTAAAAGTTACCCATCCTAAGAGTTTTGAGGTCTCTTACGCATGTCAGATCACATTTTATGTGAACCTTAAAAGATCCCGTTGAGTGTTGGTGTCGCTGGTGTGGCTGCTTCCTGTGGCACCCCTCAAGGGTTAGACACCAAAAAATACAAACCCTGAAGCCATCGTTGGGGTTGGAGGGGCCGTCTGAGGCCACCTGGCAGGAGAGGGGTGCTCTCCTGCAGCTGCCGGACGTCTCGCACCCCACGGGCCACAGCCATGGGAGCAGCACCCCCAGCTGCTGGGAGCTTTAGGCCGGTAACCAGTTCTAAGTCAAATAAGTAACCCTGGGAAAGAGCCCGGACCTGCCCGACAGCAAGGATGCCCGAACGGAGCAGACGGTCTCCAGGGAACGGGTGTGGGGACTCATCACCCGCACCCCTGCAGGCGGCCCTGGGAAGGGTCTGCCCTCGGAGCCTGTGGGCAACCCGTGCGCTTCCGGGACCTGCAGCTCAGGGTCTCGGGCAGCCTGGGAAGACGTGGTGGCACCAGACCACTGGGCCTCCCCTGCGTTTGAAGCCGCCCACGGTCCTGGGCGCCAGCCGGTCTCAGCACACGCTGGCACGAGAGGGGAGCCGGGGCCTCTGCTCCAGGGGCCAGGGAGCGGTGTGACCGTGTGACCGCCGTTCGACAAGGACGTTCAGCGTGGTTCGGCTTTGCAGGGCCGGGACATAGCCTGGCCCCCGGGACATTCACAAGCTTGTGTAAACACCAGGGTCTCCGGATGTGTGCTGGGTGCAGATGCGCCCCTCCCCCGGGTCCTGGCACAGCCTCGCCCCAGGGGGGCCAGAGGACAGCGGCTTCATCACCCGGCGCATGACAGGAGGACCACGTCTGCCCGCGGCGGACATGTGCCTGGACCGCAGCCAGAGCCCAGCCGTGGACGCCGGGCCCGTGCAGGGGCAGCCACCGGCACGGTCACCCCCGAAGCGACGGAGAGAGGACCGTCCCTGTGCCCTCCCCGTCGGAGGGGACACAGCAGCCTCCCCCGAGACTCCAGTTTGGACTGAGTGTGTCCGCGGCTGAGCCTTCCCTGGGACCACGGGTCGGATCGCCACGCGGCCATTGCAGAGCTGGGAGCCCTGGAGGGCAAGGGCTGGGGCCCTGCGGCCCTGGCCCTGGGGTTCTGAAGGGCCGCGGCGCCCCCTGGTGGTTCATCCCAAGAACAGCCGCGCACACAGAAAACCCAGCGCAAAGGCAGGTGCTGTCCTCAGCCTCAGGGCCCCGCTGCCATCTGGCTGCTTCCTGCACACGGGGATCAGGAGGTGACCGTTCCGACAGGGATGTCCAACCGGGTTGCTGTAGACTGTGCCCCAAAATTCACCTGTTGGAATCCTAACCCCCCCCATGTGACAATGTCGGGAGGCGGTGCTTGGGGGTCATCAGGTCCTGGGGACGGGTCAGGGTCCTCAGTAAAGGCCCCCCACCCCACGAGGACAGTGTGCGGACCAGGACGGGCCTCACCAGAGGAAATCCGCTGCCGCCGCCCCGGGCTCGGGCCTCTGGGAGGGAGAATCCAGGCTGGTTGTCAGAGCCGCCCGCACAGGCTAAGACCCGGGTTAGAGCGAGTTCAGAGCAAACCCAACTGGAGTTCCTGTTGTGCTTGCGGTGGGCGACTGATAAGCACGTTGAAATGGCAGATGTTAACGCCGGTTCAGATAAATATTTATCCACCAGAAATTCCACTGTTTACTGAGAGAGGCCCTCCCCGAATCGGGGGACCACTCTGCAGTCCCCTGAACCCTCCGCCCAGGGGGGCAAACTCGGGCACCTACAGGCAAAGTGCCAGTTGCAGTGGCCGGGGGAGGTGGGGCTGCAGAGCCAGGGGTGGCCTGGGCATGGGACCGGGCAGGGCTGAGCAGGGGTGGCTGGCCGCCAGCCGCCGATGGCGTGAAGTCGCCCGACTGTAAATGCGACAGCCGACTGGAACTGCCCATCGGGCCCTGTGCGGAGGAATGAACCCCACCCTGGGCCACGCGTGGCCCATGGCTGCCAGCCTGGAGCTCTGGGGCACCCCATTCTTTGTAAGTGCCAGGAACCCGCCCAGGACCTGCGTGTTCCTTCGGAGACTCAGCCGCCGCCCTCCCTGCACAGGCGCAGTCGGTGGGCTGGAGTTGTGTCCACGTCAGAGCTGAGACTGAGCTGGGCCCCCGTCACCACCGCGGAGTCCCCCTGGGGCGCCAGGCTTCCGGCCAGGACTGCGGGCCCCGTGGCCTCTGTACAGGGTTGAGCATGTGGAAAGCATAGTATCTGCCGCCACCCCAGGTTCTAAGAGAGCGTGTCCAGAATGAAGCATGAACAATTACAGAACATACATGTTTTCAATAGACTATTTTTTAGAGCAGTTCTGAGTTCCCAGCAAAATTGAGGTAAAGGCCCAGAGATTTCCCAGATTCAACCCACACACACAGCCCCCCCATCGGCACTCCCAGCAGGGGGGACCTTTGACACCGCTGATGAACCTGCAGACATGTCATCACCCCGAGTCCACAGGCGACAACAGGGTTCATCTGTGTTTACATCAGACACATGTGTGATGACGTGTCCATCGCGACAGCACCACACAGAGCGCTGCCCTGAATCCCTCGGGCTCCCCTGCTCACCCCTCCCCAGCCCCCGCCACACGGATCCGTCTCTGTCCCCTGGTTCCGCCTTCCCCAGGAGCCACGGAGTTGGAGTCACAGCGAGCAGCCTTTTCATGTTTAAACCGTCACAGATACTTGTGTGAACTGTTACTGATCCTCTGGGCCCCGTGACTGCTTCTGAACTGGGATTCCGCTCTTCCTGGCCCCCTCCTCAAAGGGCCCCCTGGCCCCCTGCCAGTTGCTGGTGTCCTGGCTCTAAACCCCACTGTGTGCTCACAGGACCCCAGCGCCATGCCCAGACCCACCTCCCAGGACCTGGCGGGCTACTGGGACATGCTGCAGCTGTCCGTCGAGGACGTCAGCATGAAGTTCGACGAGCTGCACCAGCTGAAGCTGAACAACTGGAAGATAACAGAGTCTCCGGACAAAAAGGTAGGTGCAGGTGTACCCCAAAGCCCATCTCCCCACACGCACTCTGCAGCCCCGCGCTGAGCCAGTGCAGAAGGGTCTGCTCCAAACACAGCACTGTCTCTGGGTCTTTGGTTAGCAATGCAGGATCAAGTGTGCGTGTGCACCTGTGTGTGTGTGCATGTGTGCGTGTGTGTATGCTTGCACATGTGTGTGCATGTGTGTGCCTGTGTCTTTGTGTGTGCCCTGTGCACATGCATGTGTGCGTGCATGCATGCACATGCGTGTTTGTGTGCACCCGTATGTGCATGTTTGCACATATGAACTGGGGTGCAATTCAGTTCATTGGCCTTATGCAGTAGCATCCTCTCCTGCCATATCTCTTGGTCATGGACAGTTCAGAGAAGACACTAACCAAAAATCACATGTCAGTCTAGTCTCGTTTCTTACAGAGATTTATCCTCTGAATTATTTTCATCCAGCTTTCTTTGGGTCATACCAAGAGGCTGTCGCACAGGGTTGCAACGCCTGTCTCCTGTTCAGATAAACTTCCCACTTGTGTGTCTGCGGCTGAAGCGAGGCACTTTGAACTTTATTGGTAGTTTGATTATGTAAAGTTTCCTGTCAGCTGTCAGCCGTGGCCCTTAAAACAGGCTAACATTTCCCATCAGCGTAAATGCTGATTTTATTCTCCCCTTAAGTTATCATCTTCACCAGGGCTCACAGATAAGTGTGAATAGCAATAAAGACACTGTTTCCTAATGTGTTTTAGAGAAGTTCAGGGTGATCATAACCCGAGTTTTCTAGACCAACATCATTCAATAAAGTACAGAGAAAATAACCCAGCAGACTTAGGAGCAGTGCAGTGGGACCCAGGGCTGAAGACACACACCTGGGCGGCCAGAATGGAGCGTGGTCAGCACCTGCTGGCCGCAGAGGGTGGCCCTGCGGGGCGTCTAGGCAGATGCAGAGGTGCCGCCGCGGGAGACAGTGGGGTACGCAGACACAGGTTGGACATCAGCCGCAAATGGACTTCAGGCGCCCAGGCGACTGCGGTTTAGTTCTGAACTGAAGGGCATCCTGAGTGTGACTGTGAGTGGAGAGGTTATGAGGATAAAGTACCAAAAGCAGAACCTCCCACACCGGCCTGAAGACACCCACAATCCTCCTAGTTCTTCTGTGATTGACAGTAGACAGAACCCCCCCCCCTCCAGGCTCCCCCTAGAGAAGGTCCGAGTGAAGACAGCTTCCTGCCGAGGACACGGCAACCGTCAGAACCAGAACCGAGCCGATCTCTGCCCCTCGGGGCCCTGGCTGTGTCTGAGGTTCTGCTCCATGAGCCGTGTGTGTCTCCTGTGGCCCCACGTTCCGGAGGTGACCGAGAGGACAGATGGCGGCCACAGCCAAGTGCTTCGTGCGGGAATTAAATGTGGAAATAGCTGAGAGGTTCCCAGCGCATCCAGGAAGTCAGGAGACAGTCACAGCTCTGGGCCAAGTCGTGTTCAAACAGGCTGTGGGAACACGCTCCAGACACCAAGCCTCTGCCCAAAACAGCCCTGCTCACCGCGGTGTGCTCCCCTTGGTTGGCTCGCTGCCTCTTCCTGTCCCTGTCCTGGCACATCGAGCCCCTTTGGGTTTTCGAGGAGGCTGAAGGGAAAAGACACGGGTGGGAGCCCTAGTAGCTAGAGGCCCACTTAGAAAAGGGGGTTCCTGGGCCCTTTGCAAGGCACCCTTTCCTGGGAAGGAAGGAGGCTTTGGCTGCGGGGTGCGCGTCACCTCCGTGGGAAGGGGGTGGGGTCAGCCAGGAGCAGCGGCAGGAAGCAGGTGGCTGGGACCCCGCCCTCGCCCTCCGAGGAAGGCGCACCTGGGTTTTGGTGTCACTGACCCAAGAGCAGGAGCCCAGCGTCGAAAACCACCTTTTGCATCTCTTACGAGACAGTTACTTACACAGCGCAGGTCGAGTGTTTTAGGCCCACGAGAGAGGACGTGGTCAGTGGTTTCCGTGAACCCCTGAGTCAGAGTCTGTTCCAAAGGCGGTAGCATCTCGGGCAATACCGAGATGGATGCCCGAGAACTCAGGCCGTAGGCGCGCCCTGCTCAGGTGACCAGGTGACCAGGTGACCAGGTGAGTGTCCCTCCAACAACATTGTTCAGACTACTGAGCCGGGCACGTATCTTTGTATTTGCAAACGGCCCCCTCGGAAGCCTCTGAGGGGTGCAGCATCCGCTATGCGGGAGGCAGAGCGGCGGCGGGTGGGGGGCTGGGCCAGTCTGCGTGACGTCACGTCGGTGACGTCACCCGGCGGAATGAGGCGCTGGCGCCCACAGCTGTGTGATGCTTGTGTTGCTTTTCAGGAAGAACGAAAGGTCCCCCCTCCAATACCAAAGAAGCCCCCCAAAGGGAAATTTCCGATCACGAGAGAAAAGTCCCTGGACCTGCCGGACAGGCAGCGGCAAGAGGCCCGGAGACGCCTGCTGGCGGCCAAGCGGGCGGCGTCCTTCCGCCAGAACTCGGCCAGCGAGCGCGCGGACAGCATCGAGATCTACATCCCCGAGGCCCAGACCCGGCTCTAGCCGCCTGCTCGCGCCCCTCCGCCCGCGTCCGAGCCCGGCTGCACCCCCAGGACGTCTCTGTCGTGCTCGGGACCCGGCTGGCCTGGGCGGTGCCGGGAGGCGTGGGGACCCCGGCGGGTCTCCGCAGCTCTCAGGAGAGCGAGACACCCCTCTGGAGACGGGACCAGCCCCCACTTTGTTATTTCTATTTTTATAAATTGTGAGATAGAGGCCAGAACAGCCCACGAGGACACATGGGCGCCTCCCCCACTCCCGGAGGCGCCCAGCGGGCAGTGCAGGGGAGACCCCCCCCCGGGCCACGCCCGTCCCCAGCTGGTCACGAGGTTCCTTGTGCCAAGTTCACGGCAACGAGAAGTCACCGCTGCAGCCGCCGAGCCCCCGCCTCCTGCTCCCGTCGCCCAGAGGCCCTGCCTGACCCCGCGGGGCGCCATGTCCCTTCGCGGGGGCCGACGAAGGTGGCGCCTCGGAGGGGGCGCGGGGCGCAGAGGCCCCGACTCCCCGAAGCGCCGCTGTGGGTCCCGTTCCGACCCTCACACGCCCGGTTCGTGGCCCGCGGTCTTCAGAGACGTGTAAATACCCCCAGCGGCTGTGTGGCTCACACTCCAGGGTCCCCTTCAATCACGGAACGACAGGACCTTGCTCGTTTAAACCGACAGTTGTGATGTTGTGAAAAGTTTAAGAAACAGGAGGGTGAGTGGCACGTCTGTGTAGGTGAAGAAAGGCGGGTACCGGTGCTCCCCAGCACCCTCCGCCCCGTGCTGCTCGGGGGCGCCGAGGCCCTTCCTGCTGGACGGAGGGCAGCGGCCGGCGCCGCGGGGCGCTCAGTGACCGGCCTCCGGCTCTGACCGAAGAAAAGGCCCGTTTGCTCGATTACATTAGACGCGGCGCCCGGCGTCCCCGGAGGACTGGTGTGTCCTGGTCAGACGAAGAGCCCAGCAATGTGTCCACGTGACCCCGCACTCGGAGTCCCCCCTGTCACTCAAGGTCAAAGCAGGATCCCCGAAGACAGATGTTCGCGCCCCACACCACGTCTTCCGTCCGCTGCTCCGGCAGGGCTCGGCCCAGCCGCCTCCCGTCCCCCCACTGTAGCACTTTGTCCCCCACCTGAGACGCGCACTTTAGGCCGCGCCCGGCTCCCTCCGCACCTGGTCGCCTGGCCAGAGCGCAGGTCGTGGGCGCCGGCCCTCGGCAAGCCGGCAGGTCCCTCCTGGCCTCTCCACCCTCCAGCCTGGGCTTGGTCGGTGCACAGTGGGTATGAAGCATGGCTACCTTCAGAGTTTTACTTTTCTAAAGCTGAGTAGTTAAGAAGTCCCTGTAAGAACAAAACCCTGTAAATTGAACCTCATATCCGGTATATATTTTACCAAACAGCCTTAAAATATATTTGGAAGCAAAAATCAGTACGAATGTATATCCTTGGAAAATGCAAAAAAGAAAAAAAATATTTCCCTGAAATATTCTTCTATAATGAATCCTATTCCCCCATAGTGTTCAAAGCATTTTTTTCTACTTAAGTCAACGCCTAAATCCTGAGCAGTGTCCCGTGAGGAGGCTCCTCCCTGCAGTCACCATGCTGCGGCACACGAGCATCAGGGTCTCGGACTAAACGTGCCCGGCCAGAGGCGCCGCTCTCTGGAAAGAGCACACAGAGCGGAGCCACGTAGACCCCAGGAGAGGAGTGAGAATTACCAGCACGCCAGCCGCGCCCATGCGTGCCCACTGGCCGCCGACGGGTCTCATCTCATATCCGTGAACTCGGCAGAACACACAAGGACACATTGTGGCACCGGACAGTGATTATTCCGGATCCCAGACTCTCCAATCCTGACTTGAACAGAAGTATCCACTGGATTTGGGTTCATTTTTTTATGTTTTGTATACTCATTTTTATCCTCAAACCCCCCGACATCTTGGCCTAAACGCCCCCCAGGTGAGCAAACTAACCTGTAACTGAATGTGACTGGCCACTGGTTTAAGTGGGGAAGAGTAGGGACCCCTGGGGTCCACCGAGTCCCAAAGAAGGTGTGGACGGGAGCTGACCTCAGGCCCCGTAGAATGTTCCCTGCTCATGGGACACGACCACGTGCAATAGAGTCAGTCCTCACCCGTGACATTCCCTCATGAGCGCAAAGATAAGCCATGTTTACGTATTTATATGTAAAGAAAAATAAAACTGTTTAGAATACCTGTGTTAGTCCAGCTAATTTATTTCTGGCAGATGGGTGGTCCTGTCCCCTCGTTGAGACCAGTTTTGATGTGATGGTGCATGAGTTGGAGAGGCTGGCTGGCGGTGAGCATGCACCGTGTTCTGTGATCGTGGTCACAAAAGAGGGGCGCCGTCCTCTGGGCTCACCACCCGCTCCCCCAAAGAGACGGCTGGTAAATGTTGAATCACAAGTGTTACTTAGACATCCTGCCCCTCCCAGTGCGCGGCACCACCACGCGCGGGCTCTTCTGAACTTCACGTGTGACAAGCAGGACCCTGGGGTCTAACAAACCCGTGAACGGAGAATGCCCCTCGTTACGGGTGATGCCCTGTCTCCCTCTGTCCTGTTCAACCTAAGAGCTGTTTCCAGTGACAACCGGCACCTCCCTGGCCTCGGCAGGCTCATCTCCCAATCCTAGGACGGTGTGTGAGAAATCAAACTGTCGTATGATACCAAAAAAGTTGTTTTCGTTTCGAAGGACGTGCGATTGATGTTTTCACCTTGAGGTCAATAGTAAAGACTTGCAGCTTAAACAGGACCATCTGTGTTAGGTGGGAGGGAAAACATTGCGTTTAACTTCCCTCTTGAAAGAAAAAATAGCCACAGATCCAGTGACCTGAAGAGCAGACTCTCCAGGCCGGGTCCTTGGACGTGGGCGCGTCCCTGCTGGGCCAACGGCAGATTCCGGTGCTCGCGGTGCATGGCGACCGCTCCTCTGGGGTCTGTGCCCTTCTCCTTCCCCAATTCTCGCCTTTCTCAGCCCACACTGAGCACCCACCATTTCCATCGCTTCCGTCATTTACGTGGTCACCCCTGTCTCCTGTGCGTCGGGCCCTGTGAGCACCCCGGCCGCCCCAGGACGGACTTCAACGGGGCGTCTGGGCAGTGGCCACTGGATGTGGCCTCAGGGCAGTCTCTTCGGCCGACACTCTGGCGGCGAGTAGGCAGGAGACCGGGAGAAGGGCCTCCACCAGAAGATCACTTCCTGTCGGCAGGGACTCAGTCACACTGGCCCTCTGGCCGCAGACCCGCAGACAGTGAGTGGTGCACTTTCGGGGAGACGTGCCCACAGCGCCCCCAGCCTTGTTCAGAGTGCTGACAGGTCCCAGAACCTCCAAACAGCCAGAAGGTCCTATGTGCCACGCCAGGGGACAGGGCAGGCATCTGTGGGTCCCTCGGGACTTGGGGGGCAGGACACCCACAGCATTCTCTGCCCTGTCCCCACTCCTGAAAAGTGGGACGTCCCGGCTGGGCAGCACAGACCAGGTCCCCAGAAACGGCCTGAGTGGCCCCGTCCTCCATTCCCACGAGTGCTCCCTTCCCAAAATGTCCTTTCTGCTCTTTCTTTGTACCGGAATTTAACACACCAGTCGGACCGTATCCGTGCCACACCTGTGGTACGTGCTGAGGGCGTTGCTGCGTTTTTGTCTGCGTGTTGTTTGCACTGTGGGAAGGTTGGTGGACACAGGGCTCCAGGGGGCGTCCGTGAGGCACAGACCATAGGCTGGTCAGTGAGCTGTCTGCTCCCCGGCGGAGCAGGGCCTCCCACCGCGCCAGGTCCCCACAGCGCCTGAGCTCAGCCCAGACACGTCTCCCAGTCGGAGGCCCGTCCTGTCAGCCACCCTGCCCCCAGCTGCAGTGAGCGCTGGGCAGGGACCAGGGGCTGGGCAGGTGGCCTCTTCCCCTCAGGCCAAGGGCCCGTGAGCGCCGCAGCTCCAGACGGCTTTGGAGACGCACGAGGTGCCTGCAACCTCTAGTCGGCCGTCAGACCACTCGGCTCTGGTCACACGTCTGCCAGCGGACAGGTCTTGTACCTCCCCTCCTGTTTCCGTCCCGTCACACGAAGACGAGTGACACCTGAGCAGGTGGTGGCGCAGGTGAGGGGTCCTCTCAGACGCTGACCCCTCGGGCCTGGCACACAAGGTCAGGTTGGGTCACACCTGGGAGCAGGACCAGCCGGCGCAGGGGCGTGGAGGTGTGGGTGCGGAGAAGGAACCGTGGGCATCGCTCCCTTTCTCTGGCTCAGGTCCCTAGTGTTTCTAGATGCTTCTGTGAACAAGAAGCAGGTGCCGACCAGGATCAGGCGATGTTTCCGCCGTCGCTGGAGCTCAGCCCGTGGGAGATGAAACAAAGAGGTGGTGAGCTGGGCACTGAAGTGATGAGGGAGCCACGGAGCCACGGAGCCACGGAGCGTGCCAGAGTGCGTCATGCTGACCACCCTCGGGCTGCGGTGGCCCGGCCACCATCAGAGCGCGGAGGGTCCGTGGGGACGCGCCGGGAAATGACCATCTCTCCACCTCCACACCCCCAGCATCAGTCCCGTGAGCTCTGCTGTCCCAACAACCTCGTTTTCATCCAGCGTCACAAGAAGTTATTTCAGGTTTCGGTCTCAGCACTGGACAGGTGACGTCTCCACAGGGGAAACGCTCGTTGCCCGCGACAACCTCTTTTTACGAGGTTTCCTGTCCACACAGGTGCCTCCTACTGTCTTAGACGTTATGTGATGTTTCATCACGGTGCTTATTCCGAACCTGAGCATCTCAGGGCCCGGACGCTCCCGTCCACATGGAGGACGGTCCGAGTGGAAGGGGAGACTGTGCCAGGCCTCTGTGCGGATTCAGCACAAATGTCTCTCTGCTGGGGAGACCACGGGCCCCATGGCGAGGTGACACGCCAAGGGGGACAACGAGGTGTCCCTGTGCCTGAGGGATGCCACTACGCCCTCGTCACCCTGACTCACCGCATGGCCCCGCCCCAGCCGTCCTAATATCATAACCGTTTCACTTGAAAAGG